GGCTTTTTTTGAGCACTTCTGGTCAGTGCGCATGCGCGCCCCGCCCCTTTGCGCAGGCGTCATTTGGACACCATCTTTGCGCAGGCGTCATTTGGACGCCATCTTGGAATCCTCAAGTTCTTGGAATCCTCAAGTTCTTGGTATCCTCAAGTTCTTGGAATCCTTAAGTTATTGGAATCCTCAAGTTCTTGGACGCCATCTTGGAATCCTCAAGTTCTTGGAATCCTCAAGTTCTTGGTATCCTCAAGTTCTTGGTATCCTCAAGTTCTTGGAATCCTCAAGTTCTTGGACGCCATCTTGGTATCCTCAAGTTCTTGGACGCGCCATCTTAGAATCCTCAACTTCGACCCCTTCGTACCCTGAAATTTTTTTTTTAAATGGAACGGATTCGAACCGCCAACCATTGGATTACAAGTCCTATAGCATAACCACTGAGCTAATTAGACTATTATGGTATAATGCTTGGATAGTTGTATTTATATGGAACCTATTTTAACGGAACGGAGTCGCCATCTATTGGCGTCGTAATGCATATAGAGGTATATTTTCAACCGGCTCCCTCTATTAGATTGATGCGACATCAAACGGTTAGATATGAGGGTTCAGGAGAGAGATGCAAGGGGGGAGAATTCTAACCTATAATTCCATCTCGGAGGTAGCTCCCCCATTTGAGAGACATACACAAGGGGGCCCCATTCTAACCTATAACCAGAACAGGGGTGGGTAGGGAAATAAAACAACAAAAACAAAATGTAGGGCGTTTTTATTTAGAGCTGAAATAGCGATTTGATACGGAGGCGCCATCTATTGGCGTCGTAATGCATATAGAGGTATATTTTCATCCGACTCCCTCTATTAGATTGATGCGACTAGGGTAGGAAATTGTAATTTCAGGAGACAGGTGCGAGGACCCTCATTCTTACCTATAATTCCATCTCGGAGGTAGGTTCCCTATAACTAGAACAGGAGTGGGCAGGGAAAAAACAACAAACAAAATGTAGGGTGTTTTTATTTAGAGCTGAAATAGTGATTTGAAGTTTATTATTACAATTAAAGCGCTTACTTACATAAAATTAGCGGCGAAGAGGACCGATGGCGGCAACGCCTCCATTTTTCGAATGACAGCATTGTTATTCATACCTAACTGTAAATTCTCCATTTGGTCGAGGCCGTTCTACAAATAGACTCTTAAAATGCAAAATATGTCTTAGCGGAATATTTACCAGGATTTTAAGGTGGTTGAAGCTGCCGTTGAAGCTACGTGCGGTGCGATGTGGAGTCATGGTGTTTTTTATAGAAAGAAAATAACCGCGTTTGGACGGGATGCTGCAATCTTACTATAATGCGATAGTGTTTAATTATAGCATCAGCTTTTGATGGTAGGGGCGGTAGGGGGACCGTATGAGTTATTTCATAGGAACGATAGCTACCTCAGTAGCTCCAGGTTTATAGTTCGTGGGAATTTTCCATGGTTAGGGACCAAGACGTATGAACTACTCCGTAGTTTTATGTAGTACCCTGTTGGGTGGGTTTAAGACGTTAAAGTTATCCTCCTAATTTTATAAAGAGAAAAAAATAGCAGCACGCGCGGATTTCATTATTCATTTGGTATGGGAAGTTGCAATCTTGCGATAGTGTTTATTTATAGCGAATAATGTGATAAGGTACTTTTTATACCATTTCATTTCCATATTAGTACCGGTACCTATGGAGGTTTTTATTGTGTCTGAATGCGTAAAGTTCGAAAATCTCCCTTGATTGGAAATGTGTATATCTTTACGGAAGTACGTTCTGTATAAATTCGACGTTCCGCAACATTTAAAACGTGGGACAATTATGGTGCATCCGCAATCCGATTTCAAAAAGTGCATGTGGGTATACACCTACTTAGACAGGCGCCTTCTTATATACCTCAGGTAAGCCTTTTTTCAATTTTTAGTTGCTTATAATTTACTTTTCTTAGGGATACGTGTCCTTGCGCGCATAATTTGCAGTTTAATGAAAGCGTGACATTTTATTGTATTTATTCAGCGATTATTTTATATGGGCGTTTATAAGTAATAAGCTGACAGCAGAAAACATAGTCTACATCAGAGTTGGACCGTAAGTATCAAAATTATTTTGTAATAAAAAGCCTACATTGATATCTTTTTTAGCCGATATCAAACCTCAATGGAGGATTGCCTTCATCATCATCATGGTTAAACGGTCGCAAGCGCCGTAGCTTTATTATTATAATACCTATATAATATCTTAGATTTATTGATGGGAAGTAGGTAGAGGATAATGCCGTTGCGATAAATAAGATAACATTGTGAATATTATGTATTACACCAACTTTAGCTATATCTATATTAAGAAAAGGCTTATCATATAACCTTCATATCAATTACAGCTATTAAGAAAAGTTTCGTATGGGGCTAAATCAATATTTTTCTTGAATCAAAGTTTATGTGCCGATAATACCTGTGATAAGGCAAGCTTCTTAAATCAAATTGATACACTTGGGGCAGCACCTTCATAATACGTGTAAGCATACGATTTAAAACAGATGTGTTATTAATTCCTGCAATCAAAGTGCTAGGATATAAATTTTTATTACTCTAGTTAGAATAGTGCTGTTATATAAACTCTCACAAATTTTGTTAATTTTTCTTGGATTTAAGTTTATATGGTGATAATACCCGTGCTAAGGCAGGCTTCTTAATCCCGAACAGGATAGAGATGGACGTTGGGTGGGAGGAGGTGCCTCAAGACTTGTTTACGGGAGAAAGGAAGCTAACTTTATGTACTGTTAATATCTGTGATACGACACGCTTCTTAAATCAAATTGATACACTTGAGCAGTACCTTCATAATACGTGTAAGCGTACGATTTAAAACAGATGTGTTATTAATTCTAGCAATCAAAGATCGATCTACCTTGTATAGCTTTGGTTAAATTATTATTGGTTAGATACACCTCTTTCCATGACCACCCAGGAGGCAATAAATTCGCACTAGAAATAATGCAATTTATTGGAGATGTTTACGACCTCGTTATAGGATTCCCCATTAGTTATTTCTCTACACAGGGTGTATGAAAAAATAACTAACAGGCCTTCCTTTTTAATAGTACTGCAACAATGAAATCTTAAATTTATACAAGAATTTTCTATTTTTAGCTTTATACAGGGGTAGTTTGCTAATAACCTTTAGTCTAAGAATATTCCTAAAATAATATCCTAATTATTTGTATACAAATTTCCTAGGATTTTGACAATTTTTCTTGGATTTAAGTTTATGTGCTGATAATATCTGTGATAAGGCAAGCTTCTTAATTCCAAACTAGGATAGAGATGCTTCTGGCGCCTTAAGACTTTTTACGAGAGAAAGGATAACACCGTATAGCATTATGGATAAATACCTAACCACTACATCTTACTATTTTAGGTAAGAGCTTAGAACACGGATACAATCATAATCTATGCAGTGGGGCGGATAAGAAAAACAGAACAAAATTTAACAGGTTTATTAATTCTGGAAAAAAAATATTCATTGAAGTATACATTATAATTGAAATGATAACACTTACATAGAACACCCAATAGGTGTGTTTGAGTTCCAGGTCTTTAAAGACCTGGAACCTCGTTCCCTGGAAGTCATCTTCCTCAATCTTTACGGAGCCGGGGATTGTTCCCCGACCCCGTAAAATCGCAACATGTTCCTAAATAAGAGCTAATTAAAATACGGTATGATGCATGAAAAGTACTTACAGATCCATATTTTTCTATTAGATGTGTTCGGAGTTCTCGTTCTACAAATATATGGTTAAACGTGTGATAGATATGCGGTGTATTTACCATAGGCCGTTTGCACGCCTCCGAAGACGATGGCCGCACCTTGAGCTGAAAAATTACATACATTAAGTTTGATGAAAAATAGAAAAGAGCTCATTCTTACCCGCCATCCTCGTAACAAATGCCTATCAAACGATTTCTAGGAGGAGTTTTATTTATTGCTATCCATTTAGACAGGAAACCTGCACAGATTGCATAGCTATGTGACAAACGAGGTCATAGGAAGCTTGATACAAAGGGGGTATGCAGATAAACATTCAATAAAAATTTATATCCTTCACTCATCATATTCAATATCGCCATACCTGATATTATATAGGTAAAACATATACCTTATGAATATTACCTCGGTCTATTCAAAAGCAGGCTGTTTCACTACATCGACTATCGTTATGCCCTGGAGATGAGTAGATTTTAAATTTTGCTATAACTAAAGTTATTAATTAATAATTTAACAATTAGCCGCAATATTGAGTACGGAGGTTCGCTCGATATGATACACCCCTTTCCATGGCCACCTTAGAGGCAATAAAATTGCATTAAAGTAATTTTATTGGGGGTGTTTACAGCCTCGTTATAGGATTCCCCATTAACAATTTCTTATATGCATAAAAAATAACTAACAGGCCTACCATAATCTGCTGCAATTTGTTTATATCGATTGAATATTTTACCTGAGGGAGACTGCACGAACGGCGCTTTCAAAATAAATTGAAAGGGTTCATTAATTCGTCAAGGGTTGGTAAATTATTCAAACGAGATAACAAAACTGCAATTAATTAATAAAAATTTGCACTTTAATCAATTTCCATCTGTTGAACATCTTGAGGCTTACTGATAGCATAATGGCCCCACGGAAGAGTATCAAATGTACCTGGGATTAAATATCTCTTATCGTCTTCGGGACTTAGAGCAATTTTCGACTGCGTTATCGAATATACCTGATGTTTATTGGATCGGATTAAATTTTGGGAAGTCGTTTTGCGCTTAAAGGTCTCCAGACACTCCACATAATCGTCAAAAGTAATTTTAGTCTCCACTACACTTTTCTTTATACCCTTTGCCTTCTTCATCAAACCGAAATTTTTAATAATCGTATCGATCTCATCCTCTTCATTCTCTTCCGCTTCTAATTTTTGCCGTAATTTTATCAAATCATCCTTGGAGGGTAAAACTTTGGTGGTGTACAGTTTCGATCGCAATCCTACATAATCAGTCATTATCTGTCCATTATTTTCATCTTTCATCATGCCCAACACTTTCTTATTTACAAGGGGTATGCCATATGGGTTATTGGGGTCATAATCGCTAGTATCGTAATATTTAAAACAGTCGTTTTTTATCGCCATATAAGGATCTTGTTCACGAATTTCATAAATTAAGCTGTCCGTATCTGTGTAAAGAACTGTGCAGTTATCTCCAAATCTATCCATCATGTAGTCATAATGGAAGCTGTAGATGGTCGTCTTGGCTAGATCAAGAATGGCTTGACCTACGTATATAGGCTTATTTAAATAGACTTCAAGCTTATTCAATTCTACAGCTACCAAGTTTTCGTTAAAAATGGCGCAAGATTTAAATTCCGGTTTCGCAATGTATGATTCTGCGCCGTAACGTCCTTTCCATTGCGTTAGTAATTTGATATTAACCCGTTTTCTGACATTTTCCATAGTCTTCCCAAAGACTGCGTTATTCATCAACTTAAACAAGTTCTTCTCAAATTCATTCTTGGCTTTTTTTCTTAGTTCTGTATTAAGGTCAATGTAGGACTTTAGCCAAGGGGACTGTTTAAATTTGAGTACCCTATGTACTTTGGAGAGAATTAGGCCATGGGCTAATGCTTGCTTCAAGGCTCGATAGTGGATGACGTATTTTTCTTTATTATTTAAGGTCGCCATGAGTTTTGAAATTTCCGCAGTTTCAGTTGGCGGTTTCATAGTCTTCGGGTTGATGTGTAATGCACAGAACGGTAAATCTGTGTGAGCGTCATGCAAATGCTGTGGATACTCCAAATCAACTTCTAGAATGTAGCCTTCATCTGCATCATCCGGAATCGTAGTGATATCGATGTTGGAGTCTACCCATTCAAAGCCTCCATATGGAAGATATTGACTCATACTCCATCCATACTGGTTATTGATATCGTTGTACATTAGATAGACATCCGGTTTCGTTGAATCATATTTGGGCATATATTTGTTGTTTGCATGAGCTCTTCTTTTAGAGCAGACTTGACTTAACCCTCCACGAATACCCCGCTCGACAAAGAGAAACATATCCTGGTCGGTAAGGAGTTCCAGCTCTTGTCGCGTGTATTTCAACATGGCATCCCAAGTAAAGCCTGGTAGTGTAAAATAGTGGGCCGGATCTAAATCATAAGTGGTAATACAGCTTGATCTAAACTGTTCAAAGACATCTGCAAGGAGTAGAATATCAGTCTTCATGTACAAGTCTACATATTGACCCAAGTTGCTGCAGTTAAATCTGTCCCACACCTCCTGAGCTCTACGATACATTTTTCTGGGACAGGGCTTATCTTCTAGCTTATTGTAGAAGTCATCTTGAGGAGGTAGAGTTGGCTCTTCGAAGCGGTCAAACGAGTCGAGGTAATCATACGGCATGACTCCTTTTTTAGTTAAAAGATTAAATTGATCCGCAGGTAGTGTAGAGAATTGCGCCTTGAGATTGGGAAATTCTGTCAGTGCTGACGATAGTTTATCTAGCCCCGACGCCATGAACCGGAAGCTATCGATAAACCTAAAGGAGACACGTGACTCATCGATATGTTTGGTGAAAGAAATATATTTCTCCTTGGTTATAGGGAGCAAATCAATTTTGCCATCCATTCTAGTAGCAATATCTGCTACAACAAAGTGCGCGTCATATCCACTCAAGTTGTGGAACACCACCGGGATTGTATGAGTGTCCTGATAGTTGACGTTGCATCCCTCACATGCAGCTCCGCGGAAGTTGTTCTCCGGGATAAGATGATTGTGATCACGAACTTTCTTTTGTCCAGATTTAAATGACTGTTCGCAAATATGGCACTCCGTTGCTGCTTGAAATTCAAGCTCCTGCTGTGGAGTCATATGCATCTTGTAGGGACAAAGAAACACTGTAGATACATCTTCCGCAAGCTTATTCATCTCATCAGCAAACCATCGCATACTGTCCTCACCGCGGTAGCTGTTATAAAACGAAAGAGATTCGTCATATGAACATTTGAGGTAGTATCCTACAGCTGCTGGAATATGCTGTTGGTAGGCGGTCTTCTTCTCGCTAGGTTTCAGAACGCTCTCGAGATCTGCATATACGACAAAGGGGGCTTTTATTTTATTTTTAAAATTTTTAAACTTCAACATCTTTTTTTCCTCTGTAGGCATCTTGATGGCTGTATCATTCTTTTGTATGCAATCCTTAGTATGCTTATGTAATTTATCTTCAGAACGGTAAAAATGTAAACATCTATCGCAAATATACTTTTGCCTTTTTTCTTTGCTTAACTGCTTCGATACTAGCCGTGAAAGATTTTTTATCCAAACATAATGGAACTTGACCGATTGTTCGTAGCAGTCTTGCACTAAAAGCAGGTTCACATGTTTATCCCTCTTTTCCTTCGTTAGGTAGGTAGGCAACGTATTAAACTGGTCTTTTTTCTCTTTCTTCAGAATATACACGTTAATGGAGATGCTGTTTTGTTTTTCAAAGTTCGGAATTTGTCGCATAGTCATCGGAAACTGGATCCCTTTTAGCTTGAGCACGGAAGAGTAGTGAGGGTATTTGGATATTCTTTGAGGATGTTTATCAACAGGATACAACGCTGAAACCACCGCCCACGCAAAACAGGCATCATCATCATTTTTAACGTTAACGCACGCCTTTTTTGATTGAATTTGTGAAGGTAACTCAATATATAAAGAGCCAAGTTGAGGTGTAAATTTGTTAATGTTCACTCCTAAATTGATAACAGCCTTAAGGGCCCAACCGCTGTCACGTTCTTGAAATTCCGATAATTTGGTCATTATCGGTTTCTCAACATTCTCCTTAAACCACTCTTCTATATCAGTACCCCTATATATTGCCGCATTTGATGTTGTAAAGTACTTATACTCATTAAGCATCTTTTCACCTTGAGTAATCGCAAATTCCCCGCAAAAAATCGCATTTACTTTGACAGCCTCATCTTGCTTCAACGCATTATGAATTCGGCTTTTGAAGATGGTCTTACAGTCCATTAAGAAGTTGCCGGGGTCTTTATGTTTAAGATTAGTGATACCTCCAGTTCGTATTCTATTTCTAAACGCCGAACTGGAATCATCCCAATGAACGCGATGTTTTGCGGTTTCTTTTCTATTACTAAAAGCCGAAGTGGAGGTTCCTTTATTCGATGCTAAGCCATGACCCCTCTTTTGTTCTAATTTAAAATGTTTACGCATCGACTTAATATTACGTAAGCAAGCCTCAAGATGTTGTTTTTCACCTATAGACCAAGATCCGCGCATAGAATCCCTAATCCTACGTGAAGCTTTATCGCACTCTACTAGACCTTCCCTAACTCCTTTATCGCTATAATTAGTTCTAAGCACGCCTAAAATACCTGCAATATATTTCACTAAAACTGCAAACATCTTGTACGTCTAATAATAATAAGCTAAAAATAGCCTCGCCTAAATAATTGTTAGAAAAATGCTAAAACTCGCCTAAATAATTACTGAAGCTAAAAATGCTAAATAATTGTTGATAATAAGCTAGAGAAATGCTAAACTCACCTACAATATATCGCTAAGAAAACAAACACACCTACAGATGGATCAGATTAAATCACAATGACTAAATGGGAAGAACCTGAATAATGTATCCCCTTTATAGCATGTTGGTGATAGGCAGGAAACAGCGTCCGGTCGTTAACAGGAAGCAGCATCCGGTCGTTAACAGGAAACAGCGTCCGGGCACGTCAACAGGAAACTAACATCCGCTGTTGTAAACAGGATATCCTAATCAGCAGGATATGCTAATCAGCAGGAAACGTAAATGGCGGGAATAGGAAACAGCATCCGCTCTTCCAATCATCAAACCTTGTGTAGCTATTTTTAATGAGGTTTTCCTGTTTTTATCGCACTTGACGACTGAAACCCGTTCGAATGGGAAATTTGATAATAAAATGATCTCGATCTATAACTTTTAATTTTATTATACATACTGAAGCTTCGTCATTACATCATTAGCAATAATTGATGGATTGTAATGTAAGATTTCCTCTAAACACATTTTTCTGAAATATACTTCTATGCACAGCTGATTAATTAAGTATCTAGCATCTTCGTATACATCAGCGATAGGCGCGGTCTCCTTATTACTTCTTTTCAAGTCAACCATTTTATTGATAAATATCCGGTAAAAGGTAGCGAAGTTATAGGACCCTAGTTGTTGTAGTCTTGAGTTTATTGCATATTTCATGTTGAACAACTCCTCAATCTCGTTTCTATGCATGCAGCATGATTGATTAAATTGTCGAATATCGATGGTGGTTATAATTTTATCCGAATCATCGGTAAATTTCCAGTTATAAAGTAAGCCTAAAGTGTCACTTAATGGTTCATAGTAATCTTCATAGTTGACGTCTTCATAGATGAGGTCTTCAGCAGACCAACATTTTTCTGTTTTCTTTGATCGATATAGCTGTATTTCGGTATAGGGCTGCCATTTTAAAAGATTGTTCCAATCTTCAACAGTCAATATGACACCGCAACCCTCGCTCTTGCAAGAGAGGCGTAAAACAGGTTCCTGATGAAAACAAGTGCTATAACCTATTTCAATATCCTTACTATCACTGAGAACGTATCGTACAGCACCAATTAACGTTTCCTTTGTCGCTTGATAATATATTTCTGCTAATTCCTCTTCTAAATACCCGTATGATGTTGATGATGGCGATGTCGCAACATCAGACGATGATGTACAGGACCAGCAGTTACACATGTTATCACCTTCACTCTTGTAGTTAGACTAAATTATAGGAAAAACTTATAGATGGTATGAATCAATAGCGTAGTGGAGAGGGAAACAGCATGATGCGATTTAAGAACCTTAGCCTCCTTACCAGCAGGTTTATCCTCTAGGAATCAATCATCTTGCTAACTAATACAATGACCTTGTCTACCAGGTCCAACGGGTTTGCCAATTAGTCCAGGTGGTTTGTCATCAGCTTGTCAACAGGTTCAACGGGTTTGTTTATTCATATCGGTACCAAATCGGTTCAAAGCTGTTCAATTCAGCGGGTCAACATCGGTTCAAGATCGGTTCACAGCTGTCCAAAACCGGTTCAAAGCTGTTCAATAGCGGTCCAACATCGGTTCAAAGCTGTCCAAAACCGGTTCAAAACAGCTCGAAAGCGGTTCATAAGCGGTTCAGAGGCGGTCCAAAGGCGGTTCAAAGCAGTTCATAAGCGGTTCAGAGGTGGTTCATAGCGATCCAATATCGGTTCAAAGCAGTTCGAAAGCGGTTCAGAGATGGTTCAAAGCAGTTCGAAAGCGGTTCAAAGCAGTTCGAAAGCGGTCCAACGGCTTTTTCAACTGATCCAAGGGCTCTACCTATCTGATCTAACGGCTTTGCCAACTGTTCCAGCGGGGTTTGCTAACTGACCTAAAGGAGGTGTGATCCTTTTAATTCCCATAGCTCGCTTTTCCGTAAAGGCATAAAGGGGTTCAGAACAGAGGACAGAAACCATTTGGTGTTGTGTTGTCGAGAAGAGCAGCCCTTCAACGATGTCTAAAGCGTGTAATTGGGGAAGACCTTGTAACTGTAGCGACTGTCGACCTGAGCTAAAGGAAAAATGTGAAATTTGCTGCGAGAGAGAAGGATACCGCGTTGGAAGTACTTTAAGAAAAGACAGAAAGGGGATAAAGTACTATGACTCTGAAACTTGTTGTCAACAATGCTATCAGGAAAATTATGGCGAGAGAGAAGAACGAATCTTTAACATGATGCTGCAACTGGCTGGTTTGAACAGTATATTTTACCTGAGATAATAAAGAAAATAGTGGGACCTATTTGGGTTAAAACATTGCAAATTTCCCCTACATATAGATTACCTAAGGTCGTATATGTAACAAAGGGCTAAGTTCTCCGTAGAGATTGGTATAGAAAACATTTATAGTGAGGCTGATAATTTTTTGCAAGAGACTACACTTCAAATTATTCTACGAAACTGTTAAAGTCGCTAAAGGTTGGTAATCCTATATACCTTGAGGATCTATTAGGAGAACCTATAATGGGACACTTCGATGCTAAAGAAATGTAGAAAACAACCCATCCGAGAAAGTTTTAAGGCGTAAAGGAGACAAGCTCTACGTTAGATGGATGACATGGACAAATCGCACGATTCTTGGATTAAAAATCTGATTTTGTATATCTATCATGCAACTGTTGGCATGCCTGATGATCCTAAAACTAATATAATGAATGTCTTGGAACGATTAATGTTAGTTTACTGTAGCAATACTGATATCAATTAACATTAGAATAATATGTAACCGAATTGAAGAAATGGTAATATCGGAGATATCAGCGATGAAGAGGAAAGTGTGGAACGGAATAAAAGAAAGAGTAATGTGAAGAAGAAAATCAGAAGGAAGAAAAAAGAGCTGTACAATAGCAAGTTTTGCTTAAAAAGCTCATTCTCAGACTCGTTTGTATGCTTGACGCAATGAAACAAAATAAAATTTATATCTTGCGAGCTTGGTCCTATGCTCACAGAGAAGCAAGAAAGGGTCCGTGGGAAACTATCGCATTAGATAGGTACCGCTTCAAATGTAAAATAGAACGCATTGCAGCTGTTTTGGAGCCCATATTATGTAGTCGTATTAAGATGTATCAATTGCAATATAGTAAAAATGATTGAATTTGGTTGTTTTATTTGGAAAATTACTGAATTACATGAGTATTATAAATATAATAAACGTTAGATAAAGCGCAACAGCAAAGTGAGCGTACATGATAGTAGCAACATGCTTCTAATTTAGGTAAAGCTGGTTCTTCTTCCACCTCGGCGACATTTTGCGATAGAGTTTTTCGAATGAAATCGACTTTTTCTTTTCCTTGAACGTATACTTGGTCTGATGATGATATTAACTGGCGAAGTATAGTTGGAAACATGTAGGATGGCGTATGACCATGCTCCCATTTAATTCCGTGATGGTTATGAATTAACCAGGTAGCTTGCCGTTGTACCTAAGCCACCTGCTTTCCATTATAAATTGCAAGCTCTTTCGGCAAATCCGGAGCGCTTTTACACAAATACCTGATTATGTAAAATCAAAATTATAGTATTATTCAGTATAAAGCGGTCACATCATCCAATGCAATTTTATAGATAACGCGCTTCTTCGGTTCTATTGTTATCAATATGACACCTTTGGCTTAAACGCCTACAAGTTCTAACGGTTTCCTGTTAGTCTTGCACCTATATATCCTCGAGTCTAACTATCATGTCCCGCAAAATTTCTAGAAAGAATTTATGCTTTTCCTATTAAAACAATGCAACTATATAGGTGTCCTTGGGTCGTAATCTTAAGCTAATTATTTCATCAGCTACGCTTTACGAAATTATCAATGGCGGCAGCTCGTGAGTAAATAATAGAATATAGGTATCGTTAAACTTTAGTTATAGCAAAATTTAAAATCTACTCATCTCTAGGGCATAACGATAGTCGATGTAGTGAAACAGCCGGCTTTTGAATAGGTTGAGGTAATACTCAAAAGGTATATGGAATTGGTCAATGAAACGAAAAGTATGTATTCAAGTTTATCGCATCACCTTCAAAGTAGACCTCCTTCTACAATAATACACTACCTACGAGCATACGTACGCATTTTCAAAACTAATAGGGTGCTTTGATCGATAATAATATAAATCTATCACCGGCCTGTACCAACTGTTTTACCTATATAATATCAGGTATGGCGATATTGAATATGATGAGTGAAGGATATAAATTTTTATTGAATGTTTATCTGCATACCCCCTTTGTATCAAGCTTCCTATGACCTCGTTTGTCACATAGCTATGCAATCTGTGCAGGTTTCCTGTCTAAATGGATAGCAATAAATAAAACTCCTCCTAGAAATCGTTTGATAGGCATTTGTTACGAGGATGGCGGGTAAGAATGAGCTCTTTTCTATTTTTCATCAAACTTAATGTATGTAATTTTTCAGCTCAAGGTGCGGCCATCGTCTTCGGAGGCGTGCAAACGGCCTATGGTAAATACACCGCATATCTATCACACGTTTAACCATATATTTGTAGAACGAGAACTCCGAACACATCTAATAGAAAAATATGGATCTGTAAGTACTTTTCATGCATCATACCGTATTTTAATTAGCTCTTATTTAGGAACATGTTGCGATTTTACGGGGTCGGGGAACAATCCCCGGCTCCGTAAAGATTGAGGAAGATGACTTCCAGGGAACGAGGTTCCAGGTCTTTAAAGACCTGGAACTCAAACACACCTATTGGGTGTTCTATGTAAGTGTTATCATTTCAATTATAATGTATACTTCAATGAATATTTTTTTTCCAGAATTAATAAACCTGTTAAATTTTGTTCTGTTTTTCTTATCCGCCCCACTGCATAGATTATGATTGTATCCGTGTTCTAAGCTCTTACCTAAAATAGTAAGATGTAGTGGTTAGGTATTTATCCATAATGCTATACGGTGTTATCCTTTCTCTCGTAAAAAGTCTTAAGGCGCCAGAAGCATCTCTATCCTAGTTTGGAATTAAGAAGCTTGCCTTATCACAGATATTATCAGCACATAAACTTAAATCCAAGAAAAATTGTCAAAATCCTAGGAAATTTGTATACAAATAATTAGGATATTATTTTAGGAATATTCTTAGACTAAAGGTTATTAGCAAACTACCCCTGTATAAAGCTAAAAATAGAAAATTCTTGTATAAATTTAAGATTTCATTGTTGCAGTACTATTAAAAAGGAAGGCCTGTTAGTTATTTTTTCATACACCCTGTGTAGAGAAATAACTAATGGGGAATCCTATAACGAGGTCGTAAACATCTCCAATAAATTGCATTATTTCTAGTGCGAATTTATTGCCTCCTGGGTGGTCATGGAAAGAGGTGTATCTAACCAATAATAATTTAACCAAAGCTATACAAGGTAGATCGATCTTTGATTGCTAGAATTAATAACACATCTGTTTTAAATCGTACGCTTACACGTATTATGAAGGTACTGCTCAAGTGTATCAATTTGATTTAAGAAGCGTGTCGTATCACAGATATTAACAGTACATAAAGTTAGCTTCCTTTCTCCCGTAAACAAGTCTTGAGGCACCTCCTCCCACCCAACGTCCATCTCTATCCTGTTCGGGATTAAGAAGCCTGCCTTAGCACGGGTATTATCACCATATAAACTTAAATCCAAGAAAAATTAACAAAATTTGTGAGAGTTTATATAACAGCACTATTCTAACTAGAGTAATAAAAATTTATATCCTAGCACTTTGATTGCAGGAATTAATAACACATCTGTTTTAAATCGTATGCTTACACGTATTATGAAGGTGCTGCCCCAAGTGTATCAATTTGATTTAAGAAGCTTGCCTTATCACAGGTATTATCGGCACATAAACTTTGATTCAAGAAAAATATTGATTTAGCCCCATACGAAACTTTTCTTAATAGCTGTAATTGATATGAAGGTTATATGATAAGCCTTTTCTTAATATAGATATAGCTAAAGTTGGTGTAATACATAATATTCACAATGTTATCTTATTTATCGCAACGGCATTATCCTCTACCTACTTCCCATCAATAAATCTAAGATATTATAGGTATTATAATAATAAAGCTACGGCGCTTGCGACCGTTTAACCATGATGATGATGAAGGCAATCCTCCATTGAGGTTTGATATCGGCTAAAAAAGATATCAATGTAGGCTTTTTATTACAAAATAATTTTGATACTTACGGTCCAACTCTGATGTAGACGATTATTTGCGAACAGCCATATAAAATGATCGCCGAATAAATACAATAAAAATGTCACGCTTTCATTAAACTGCAAATTATGCGCGCAAGGACACGTATCCCTAAGAAAAGTAAATTATAAGCAACTAAAAATTGAAAAAAAAAGGCTTACCTGAGGTATATATGAAGGCGCCTGTCTAAGTAGGTGTATACACACATGCACTTATTGAAATCGGATTGCGGATGCACGCCGTTTTTAAATATTGCGGAACGTCGAATTTATAATTAGTACAGAACGTACTTCACCGTAAAGATATACACATTTCCTATTTCCATCATATTTCCCACCTTTTTTATGGGAGATTTTCGAACTTTACGCATTCATACACAATAAAACCCGTATATAGGTGTCGATATGGAAATGAAATGGGATAAAGTACCATATCAAATTCGCGAGCACGCGCTGCTATAAATAAACACTATCGCAAGATTGAAACTTCCCATACCAATTATTAGAATAATGACATCTGCGAACTCTGTTCTCTTTGAGGATAGCTTCTACGTCTTACTATAAAAAACCAGGGGGCTGCCTTAGACCCTAAGAGCTACTATATAAAACTAGGGGTAGTTCCTTGGGGATAGGATTAGGGGTTAGCTCCCCCACCCTACGAAATAGCTCACATCGGTATCTACAGCTCCTGACGTTGATGCTATAATTAAATACTATCGAATTATTGCGAGATTGCAGCATCCTCTCCCATAACCGCGGTTATTTTTTTCTCTAACTGATAACACATTTACATTCGTGCTTATTTAGCTGCAAATGTCGAGTGAGTAACATCTTCATATTGCTTTCACAACTTAATAGTTATTATTTTAGATCAAGAAATGTGCAATCATTTTTGCGAGGAGTCGAGGTAAACCTGCATGTATATTACTATACGTTTTAACCGTATATTTGTAGAACAAGAAACTACTATTATTTTCGGCGGGATAAACCCAGCGAGGTATAAAACCCCCCATGTATTACGTTTTAATTATATACCTATGTGTAGAACGGAGCGGGGATTTCCAATTATGAATAACAATGTCGGCATCCAAAAAAATAGGGGCGTTGCCGTCGTCGGTCCTCTTCGACGCAAATTTTATGTAAGTAGAGTAAGCGCTTTAATTGTAATAATAAACTTCAAATCGATATTTCAGATCTAAATAAAAACGCCCTACATTTTGTTTTTGTTGTTTTATTTCCCTACCCGCCCCTGTTCTGGTTGTAGGTTAGAATGGGGCCCCCTTGTGTATGTCTCTCAAATGGGGGAGCTACCTCCGAGATGGAATGATAGGTTAGAATTCTCCTCCCTTGCATCTCTCTCCTGAACCCTCGTATCTAACCGTTTGATGTCTCATCAATGCCGGGGCGCCGGTTGAAATTATACTTTCCTATACCTATACGAATCCTAATAGATGGCGACTCCGTTCCGTTAAAATAGGTTAGAATGAGGGACCTCGCACTTGACGACTGAAATTACAATTTCCTACCTCTATATGCATTACGACGCCAATAGATGGCGCCTCCGTACCCTTAAAATAGGTTCGTTATAAATACAACTATCCAAGCATTATATCATACAAGTCTAGTTAGCCTAGTGGTTATGCTATAGGACTTGTAATCCGATGGTTGGCGGTTCGAATCCGTTCCATTTAAAAAAAAATTTCAGGAGGTTCGATATAAATACAACTATCCAAACATTATACCATAATAGTCTAATTAGCTCAGTGGTTATGCTATAGGACTTGTAATCCAATGGTTGGCGGTTCGAATCCGTTCCATTTAAAAAAAAAATTTCAGGGTACGAAGGGGTCGAAGTTGAGGATTCCAAGATGGCGCGTCCAAGAACTTGAAGATTCCAAGAACTTGAGGATACCAAGATGGCGTCCAAGAACTTGAGGATTCCAAGAACTTGAGGATACCAAGAACTTGAGGATACCAAGAACTTGAGGATTCCAAGATGGCGTCCAAATGACGCCTGCGCAAAGATGGTGTCCAAATGACGCCTGCGCAAAGGGGCGGGGCGCGCATGCGCACTGACCAGAAGTGCTCAAAAAAGCCCAAACGAACTTAGATAATTCCTTATGGGAAATTACATGTAATTGGCCGGAAGTTGGGCTAGAACCGGCAGCCCCTTTATGTCTCAATAAAACCAAATGAGCCAGCTATTTACAGAGTACACCTACGTTAAAGAATAAATTACCCACGCTTTACCAGAATCTGCATCTACGCACGTTTAGTGAACTCTACACAACAAATTCACATAACAGCATAGGTACATAGGGTAAGGTCGGCTATATCGTACCACTTTCAAGTTTATTGGGTATAGTTAAAATTTATGTCTAGATATCGTAAAAGATCAAATTTATTTAATTTCTTTAACATTTAAGGAACACAAAGCTACAACTAAACCATAATTCTAAACATGCTAACATAAAAAAATAAATGTTTTTACAAAGTATTGCAAGTGGTACAAATTAGCAAACCAGTTCGGTAAATTGTACCACTGGGTCGTAAAATCGTACCATTCTAGAGATATTAGTTTTGCTGACAATTTGGACAATTGTATCGCTTCGAAGATCTTCCGCCTATAGTACAGCTCTCATGCGCCCACTTTTTGCACCTCATGCATTGCACCATGTCCTCAATAGCGATTTCCTCACATATTAAACATAGCCAATCACCTGGATTAACATCAATTTCTACTTCTTTGGAAATCGGCTGCATTGTTAGACCAGACGCTGATGCAACTGGGTTTTTGATTTTGGAAAATTTTTTTGTCGCCCTTTTGACAATTTTCGTTTAACTGTAGAAACACGAGGCGTTACCCTAGTTTCGATCTTCTCCTCCAGTTCTTTCGTGTATGGGGTACTAGTTAAAACAACTGCTGACTGACTTTGTTTTCTTTTCTTCAGTCCTTCGCGATGTTGAGGAAGTGGAAGGATGTTTAGCACAGATGCATCGTTCTCGTCGGGTAGAGTCTCTTGATCAATGGGCAGTTGTTCAGGTTCCGGAGTCGACTCTTGCCTTCTTATGGTGTCATCTAACAAAGCTTCTGCGGGAGCAAAGTCACCTACACTGAACACGTGGCGATTTACTGGCCATATACCGGCAGCTCGGAAACCATTAACAAAGGTATTAATAGTTGCAGCCCTTGAATAAGCTTCACACAGCAATGCTGTCATGTTATATTGGGAAATAGCCTTTCCAGGATTATTTCTTAGCCATTTTTCCACCTCTTGGGTGAAATAGGATTCCATTGGTTTAAAGAAGCTCACATCCAAGGGCTGTAAACGATGAGTCGTATGGCCCGGAAGCTGTAAGATCACCACTCCATTTTCTTTCGCCAGCTCTAACGCTTTCAAGTTTTTTGAATGGGTTGTGTGCCCATCAAGCAGTAACAAAACCTTATTGTCAATGGTAGGTTTTATTGTTTTTATGAAATGTTGCAGCCATTGTACAAATAGCTCAGAATTGATATAACCTGAGTCCGAAATTGTTACTATTGACCCGGGTAACGATCCAATCATCAGTTCGTTTGCCATTCTTTTGCGCTTGAATATTATCATAGGGGGTACACACTGCCCTGCACCGCTAGAGCAACAAACTACGGTCGTATTCACCCCACGTTCTCCACTAGACACACCACCAACTTGTTTCTTTCCTTTTGCCGCGATGATTTTTTGATTTTTTTTTGAACCGTGGAAAATCCACTTTCATCAACGTTGAACATTGTTACAGCAGTAAATCCATGCTCATCCACCAACTTCTCCAGAATATCAAAAAACTTGTAAACATTTTCCTTATTAAATCCGCAAACTCTACTCAATGAGACCTTTTCAGGCTGCCTAAGAGATAAATTGGGGTGTCGCTTCATAAAGCCATAGTACCAAGCTTTCCCCGCTAGACCCTTTTCCTTATTGAAATTGTGAGCTACACCTTTTTTTTCAGCTAACTCAAATGCTAAGCGTCGCACGTCATGAATAGTTACCCCAAACATGAGATTTTCCAGTTTGAGGAGGTATTGAGTAAGTTCCTCTTCAATTTCAGAGGTAAAAACTGTGAGGCGGCCAATGTGTTGAATGTGCTCATTAGCTTTCCTATTTTTTGAATTCAAATGCCTTTTAAACGTTGGCTTTGGAATATTGAATTGCCGGCAACATTCATTGAGTCCTATTTTATTTTCCCTGTACGCCTTTAAAGCATGTTCCATATCTGCTTCGGTCCACTGGTTATATTTGCGTTTTTGAGCCATTAATGTTGTTCTACAACAATATAAAAAACATTCAGAACCGATCAAATATAAAAAACGCGCGAAAATCGGACAGTGCGGTAAATCGTACCGGTACGATTTATAAAACTACTTGGGGTACGATTTAACGGATCTATTCCTTCTTGGTATTTATAGTAACAATAAATCAAATTCAAACATTTACAAGATTTTGAGATATGCCAAACCACTGAGTAGTACAGAAAATCAAATAACTATTATAATAAATATGTTTTGACTCACCTTTTGCCCAAAAACAGCTTAGATGTGGATGCACAGATTAGCAACGTTCACACTGTTTAGACACAGTACCCATTTATATCGATTTGGGCGACATCTAGGTCGGAACAAATGCTTTATGGTGTTTCAAACTGTTAAAAGCATACCTTGATATGCAAAAGGTGGCGGTAAATGTTTTGCAAATATGAAAATTATTAGTGGTACGATTTAACATGCGGTACGAATTAGCCTACTCTACCCTACTTTAATTTGTTTCAAACTTATAGCGAAATCCATTGGTGAAAAAATGCGCACCGAGTGCAAATTTTTATAAACCATTGGTCATTGTAGTGCAAGTATTCGTATTCCATTGGTAAACTGGTGTCGCATTTGTTGCATTTAGTGCAAAAAGTTCCGCACGAGGTCTTGAGCAGGTGCGGCACTGGAATTGATCAGCTGTTTTTTGTTGTGTTTATTTCGAGGGTTTATTTGAAAATGGCCACAAGCAAAGAGGCAAAGGCGGTTTTATGTTTAGCCATTTTATCTAGCAGCAGCAGTAGTAGTGAGGATGAGGAGTTTGTTGCCTTGTTAAAGGAGAGAGTGAAGTTACCAAAAATTAAAAACTTTGTGGATGAAGTACTTAATAAATTAAGCGACGATCAGGTAGGTACTGTTAAGCCTAAAAGGAATTGACATTAAATTGATTTTTAGTTTCAGAAATACTTTCGATTACAAAGAACAACAGTGCAGTTATTAATTAACAAATTTCAAAACTCGAAATATTTCCCGAAAAATGATGGACATGGTGGTCGGGTACCTATACCTGCAGAAGTGCATACATATGCATTTTTATGGTATAATTTTATAAGTAACTTCAGACTTTATTAATGTGTATTTATATAGGTTCGCTGGCAATAAATGCACAACTAAAGATGTTGGACAAAGGTTCAATATAACTGAATCATCGTTTCACAGAGTGATGGACCGGTTTATGGGATTTCTGTTAGAATTGGGCCCAGACATTATAAAAATGCCAAAGTCTGCTCTAGAATTGGAACAAATAGAAAAAGAATTCAGAAAGGTGCATACATTTCGTATTTGTGAAATTTTTGTATTATAACTATTTTTCTAGGTAGCTGGATTTCCAGGTGTCGTGGGATGTATTGATGGAACGTCAATCACGATTAGAACGCCTGCTCACAAGATAAAATCAACTTATGTTAACAGACATGACATACCATCCCTAACACTACAAGGCATATGTGACTACAAGCGTAGATTTATAGATGTCTTTACAGGCATACCGGGTAAAGTGCATGATTCTCGTGTTTTCAAAATGTCGGAAATATTAGCTCTGTTACCAAACCTGTGTGGTACCAAATATCACATTTTAGGAGATGGAGCATACTTCATAAGACCATGGCTTTTAACTCCATATAAAGATTATGGAAAGCTAACACCTGACCAAGTTAACTATAATAAGAAGTTCTGTGCTACTCGTGTCTTAATTGAAAACACTTTTGGCATTTTAAAAAGCAGATTTCGCCAATTAACCAGATTGGATATGAAATCTGTTGTAACTGCAACAAAGATTATAATAAGCTGCTGCATCCTCCACAATTTTTGTATCAATGTTGATGACGTAATAATTGATGACATTGAATACGAAGAACGTTTTCAAGAAGGTGCTAGAGGAGAAACTGAATGGCAGCAGCGAAAAAAAGGCGAAGACAAGCGCAATAATATAAAAATGAGTTTAATATAGGTATTAGGTTAGATACTTAAAAGTTATAATAATGTAAGAATATGTAAATATTATATCTTATAACAATACTACTTAGATACATTTTCTTCGAGGTTTTCTTTTCCTAAAATTTGTTTTATTAATTGTAACTTCTCCCTGTGGCGCCGTTCACGTGCTTTTTCTTTCACTTCAAATATTTGTAGTAATGTTTCTTGTATTGTTTTATTTTTTGTCTTCTGTTGAGGAGTGTGGCTTGTACTGGGCATATCGTCAGAGCTACATTCTGCAACTGGTTCTTCAGAAAGTGATGTCTCTCTTTTTCTTTTTATAATTGTGACACCTCGTGATGATCCAGTAACTTCAGGTTGAATGGAATCATCAGAAGCCGAAATTTTATTTAACTCATTTTCAAATGGTACAAGCGCTCTAGAGCTTCCAGAGGTCATGTTATTTTCAACAGCAGCTTTTTTACGCTTTAATACAGTTTTATATCTATTTTCACACTGCAGTCCGGTCTTGCCAGTGTGAAAATATTTATTAATGCGTTCCGCAATGTTTACCCACATCACCTTTTTTGTTTTAAATTTTTGTAAAGGTCCTACTTGTCCCATCCATTGCTCGTACAGATCAAGTAACATTCTTGTTTCGTCATCGCTCCATTCTATTGCATAAAATAGAAAAACAATTTAAAGAAAAATCATATTTCTCTTCTTAATACTCACCACTAATACGTTTCCCCTGAACATCGTTTTCTTCCTCAATGGGTTCACTATTTTCTTCGGTGGGTGGATTCTCACCATATATTTGAATTGTGCTAAAATTTATAATTATACATTAAAAAAATTACACTAACACAATTACAGGCACTTACGAATCATCTTCATTAACCCTGTAAATAGTACTTAACGCTTCCTTTAAGGAAATAAATCCATTACTTATTAGTTGTATAAGATAATTTACTGTAAAATCATCATCATCTGAAATCAATTACCGATTTATTTACATACGTTCACATTGATTTAACTTACTTGTAATTTTGAATAATATATCAGAGTCGTTATCTGGTACCTATATTCAACGTTATAATTTCGTCATTAATTTGAAATTTGACTTGCAATACATCCATTTTTAACTTTTTTAATAAACATAACCATGAATTCAACATGCAACGTGCCAACCAACTGTACTCCATTGACAACGACAACGCACTATTGAGATCAGCTGATACAACTCGCGCAATTCGAGTGTCGACCTAGCGCAGATTTTTTCCGTCCAATGGATTTCGCTATTACTGTGGCAACCTTATACCAACTTTCTAGAAATACGCCGTAAGCAAACTTTCTAAAGTTAGCTAACAACTTTCAAGAAACTACTTTAAGTTATAAGAAAGTTAATATTGTAGGGGAGACCGGGTACGATTGTACCAATTTAGATGTATGATTTTTTTTCACTTAAAATATGATATTGTCTAATATTCAACTTGCACTCCGTGGAAGAGTAAGTACTGGGACACAGTTATAAATTTATTATGATTACCTAGAGTGCGGATAAAAATGCATTTATTTTTATAAAATAAGCGCTTATTATATGCATCAAAACGGGCAAAAAAAGCTAAAAAAAAGGCAAAGTAAGCAAACAAATGCACAATCAACCATCCACACAAAAAAAACCTGTATTCCTCAATAAAACATGATTATGATGAAACTAACTCTAATTATCGGAAAAACAATTAGCAATTATGTATTTCTCCAAATTTGCAATTAAAATTTTTGCCTTCGGTCCGATAAAATATTTTTATAGACGGAAAAGCTTCTCTCGACATCTGCAGAGGTAATTGGTGCAAATTTAAAGAATTTAAAGTTTAATGGTGCTGTAGTATGTGCTTCTAAATCTTCAACGAAATTTCCGTTTAGCTTTTTGGAGATTTTCGAAAGAATATGAAAACCAGAATTTTTTGTTAGCACGTCCTCTAATTTCTTCTGAACTATATCGGCTATTAGACCGTTTATCTTATTTGTGTCTCTTTGAAAATCTACGATTTTAATTGATTCGTCAAGTGGCAAATTTTTGGGATCCTAATCTTTTACAGTGCGCTGTTCATTAAAAAAATGCAAATCCCACATTCTTGTCCACATGAAGTTAATATGCGAGATATTATTCTAATCTCAGTGTAGAAATGTAAAAAAAGCAAGAAAAAGCGTTTAAAGGCATTTAAAGCACCATTGTTAAAAAAAAGCAAAAAAGGCAAAATAAAAATAGCCCCAAACGCTTTCTTTTTTCATAAAACGTGTATATCCAAAACCATTATGTTCTGCATTCAACATTAACGTGTAGGCAAAATGCCATAAATCCGCACTCTAATTATGATACCTTTATCATAAGTGGAAAGAAAATTATAGTCTTAGGGAACAAAAGTGGGATAATGGTACAAATGACCCCTGCTCTTGGTCAATTGTACCAGCGATAGGGGACGGTTGTAACAAATAGAATCAATCTCTATTTCGTAAAAATAAAGTAAAAAATAGAAGCAAGCATGCCTACAAAAATAAAAACACAAAGATTCAAGTTATATTTTCTTATTGGAGACTCATATAGGTACTTATTATTCAGAATCACAATTGTGACAAGTATAAAATAATGTATGTTCTGCACCGATGCATTCTTCATGTGCCCACAATTTACATTGGGTGCACTGGATCCATTTTTCCCCCCCTCTACTGTTGCTGTATGGTTCAATACAAATTAAACAATAGCATTCATCGTCTTCACTGTCAGAAACTATTATCTTCTGCCTTTTTTTTGGCGCGCGTTTATTTTTGGAGTCTCCTGTTAGATTTTCTTTGGCTCGCTTAGCGCGAGCTTCATTAATTTCATTTTCTATCTCTATTTTTTCTGGGGTGTCTGTGTATATTGCCGACTTTCGCTTTTTCTTTCCTTTCGTTCCAATCTTTCTAGGCGCCGCTTTAGAAAATGGTCTCACTTCTTCAGGTGAAAAGACAATGGCATCTGGTGTAGATGCTATTGATGGAACTGTAATGTCTCGTAAAGGGCCCCTGTTTGGTATAGGAGTCGTTGGTTCTGTCACTGATTTAGTACCTAGCAGGTAAATTTTCAATGTCTGGAACATTATCTGTGGATGTGGAAGGAATTGGAGAATTTTCTCGGCCTGTTGTATCAGTAATTGAATCTTGAATTTTTGGTGCTGGTCTATCAGTTACAAAAGAAGGACCGAAGTCTAAATCCGAAAAGATCTCTCTATTAAATGGGTAAATACCTGTGCACCTAAACCCGGCCTGAATGTTATTTTGTGTAAAAGCCAAGGGAGCTGCAGTGGCCACAATACCCGGTATGTCGTATATGGTCATTGGTCTCCCTGGATGATTTCTAATCCATGCTTCGCATGCAGCATTTACTGCTTTTTTTAATGGACCATATACCGAGCGGTCAAGGGGCTGCAATTTATGAGAGCAGTGAGGTGGAAAAGAAACCATGATGATCCCGTTCTTTTTACAAAAGTCTAGTGATTCTATGGTTATATGGGAAGCATGGTTGTCTAATAGTAATAAGACTTTATGTGACAACGATGAATTCGTATGATTTTGAAAATGCTTCAAAAATATTATAAATTCCTTTTCTTGCATCCATCCGGAGCCGTTACCAGCACCAATACAACCTAAGGGTCCATCACGCACAAAATGTTCGTGATATCTTAGTCGAGGAAATATAAACATGACTGGAGTAGAATTTCCCAATGCATTAATTGCCACAGTAAGAGTTACTAGAGTACCACGTTCAGCCGATGTCAATGCACCAACCTGTTTTGTTCCAGTTTTAGCTACAATTCTATTTGGTTTTTGAACTGTGGTAATTCCAGTTTCGTCTACGTTATATATGTCCTTGGCTTCGAATTTTTCACGATCCATAACTTTTGCGAGGTTATCAAAGAACAATTTAACGTTTGCAGGATTAAAGCTGGTGGCTCTGGAAAGGCTTGTTGCTTGTGGAGTTCTGATAGATAAATCCGGGTGTCTCCTCATGAATCCCGAAAACCAGTCCTCACCAGCTAAGCCATTCTCATTCCAGTTTGCTGGACATTTTAAATTGTATTTCGTTGCCAGCTGTAGTGCTAATTTCCGAATATCCTTGGGACACAATCCTTGATATATCGTCGCCGCCTTCTTGATATACTTGACCATTTCATTTTCATGTTCAACAGAAAATACCCTATTGGCTGGTTTATACCCCATACTCACATTTACAGTCCCTTCTACACCACTACTACACTGAAAAAACAGTGTCTGTAAATTTACCATAATAATCATTGGTTTATTTCTTGCCTATTTTCCTGACATGATGTAATCGAATCAAATACAGCAATCATGTAACATTAGGTACATATTTTTTACCATATTACATGTAAAAGTCATCTTTAAAATTAATTGTGTTGTGGTATGTTCATATGGGTATTTACTCGTGCTCCGTAAAACTACACAGTATCTTTCCAGTATACTTGTAATTTTCTCTTTTAATTTCACCAGGAATTTTACATTTTTTGTGCAAAAATTTGGTGGCACATTGATAGTGGGCAATTTTCAATAAAATATTGATATAAGGAGACCATATTATGTTATCAAAAATCTCTAAACCTTCCCCATATAGTTTTATTCGTTGAAGTTTTTAAAAAAATAACAGCGACTATAGTTTCGGCGTACTGCCATCATCAGGCGATGTGAAAGTTAACAGGAAAACGGTAAATTACAAACGTTGAGGCAAGTATGGTTGAACCAGATGTTGAGTGATGCTCTTTTCAATTTTCTGCTAAGTTTGATGAATTGATGGATTGTTGAAGCTCGGTTGGCGAAGAAATTTTGAGTTGGATCCATCGTTCAACCCCCATTTCGAGGAACGATGGATCCAACTCAAAATTTCTTCGCCAACCGAGCTTCAACAATCCATCAATTCATCAAACTTAGCAGAAAATTGAAAAGAGCATCACTCAACATCTGGTTCAACCATACTTG